AAAAAAAAAAAAAAAAAAAAAAAACAAAAAACAAAATGAACAACATAAAGAAGTGGGTTATGAATATTTTGAATTTTGTTTGCCTTGATTGTCTACAGCTTCAAAGATCAAATACATTGTTCTTCATTTCCATCAAAAGCAACAATGGGATACCAAGTTCTTACAAATCTCTACTCTGATCAAAGATTTAAACCTATACACAGCTGGATATTGATTTAGCAACTTTTGGTAAGGCCAAAATGGAATCTTATTAACGTCTTGAAACTATCACTCGATTCTCTAATGTACACTAAAAATGAAGGTATACTGTCAAATACAACGCTATTGGAACTTGTGTGTAACACTTTCAAAAATGTAGTTTCCGTTCAAGTATTCAGTCCATGCACAAAAATATCAATACCAACCATCTTAATCTCAATGCCGCCCATCTCAATCTTAATGGCCGAGTTTTAACCACTCGCTTAGCTTTGTTGGGCGCTATATGAAGTCACTTATCAGGCTGTACCCATTGATGAACTCATTACCTGAATCTGCAAGAGAGTGGAGAATGATTAGGAACAATAAAGCCTTTTGTATTGCAAAATTGTGCTGGACTAATTACCTTGTTCACAAGCAAGTTTACTTGTTCTCTGTACATCTCCTTCAAGTCAACAATATCTGCACGAAGTTCCTCCAGCTGCAACCAAATCAATTTCAGTCATTGGAGGAAATTAAATAAAAGTCAGTTTCCATTGTATAAAATGGCCATGAGGTGCTCAACATACATTCTGAAGAATCTTTTTTCAGGTTCTAAACAGAGGTAAAAGGGTGTAAAGACCAAGCGTGGCTCAACTAGTCAAGACAAACATTTGAGACTTAAGAGATCAAAGATTTGTATCTCATCCACACATGTGTTATTGAACTCAAAATAGATGTAAGAGGGCAGTTTCCTTATAAATATATTTATGGAAAAGGGAACACAGTGGAAAGTGTTATAACCTATTGGCGTTTTGCATTCTTTCAAGCAAAGTATTTTAAATTGGATCCTATTCTAATTATCTTTATCTAGGTATTCTATCATGTTAGTATACCTCAGGTTATGTAAATCAAATTGATGGGATAGTGTGATGTACACCTCCAATACAATGTGAATGTACGTAACCAATTACAATGTGAATGTCCTTATGTGGAAAACTCGTCACTAATGATGGATATTCAGTTCATCATGAAAAGATGTCCACCTCCAAATGAAAGCTTAAACTACTGATAGGGTATTGATTCTCTAGACAACTAACAAAATAAAAGCTTAACGAATAAAACTCTGGTCCTCAAAGTCATAGAGATTGAACTAGACATTGCCCTTCATTGCTCAATTCCCAAGTGCATATCTTGCACCGAGTTCTTGCCAACCATCTCACCTTGGCAAACATAGCACATTATAAGTGGGATCATGACAAAATCCAGTAACTTTTTTTTTTTAAAAAATAACAATAATAAAATCAATCCAACAAAATCACTATCAACCTCAGTACATAAAACTAATATAAATAGGGGGAGGAGCAAGCATTGTGCTTTCCTGCCACACGTCAATCTATTTAGATTTCCACACAGTAAGAAATTTGTCATTACCTCCTCATCACGTTCTCCCATGAGTTCTAACGCAGCAGTGTGCCTTCTCCTCAGTGCTTCAAGTTCTGCTCGTATGCCTGGTAACATACCAGCCTCTGCCCTTAACTTCTCACTCTGTGCATCAATAGACAATCAAATCATATTTGAAGTCAGCGCAAGTGTCCCCAAGCTCAATGGTATAAGAGAATAACATGTGACAAGTCAATACCAACCTGAGAGGTCAGTTTCACTAGCTCCTCAGCAAGAGAGTCACGGATCATTTCAATTGATTTCTGGTCAAATATAAATGAAAATAAAGCTAAGAGTTTGAACTTGGTGGTGGGATGGTGGGTGGGAGTTTGGGGCATTTAATGCATTAAACTTTAATCATAACAACTACAACATTTCCTATATTAAACACTTGTGATCTGCTCACTGTTGTTGTTGTTGAAGAAGAAATTATTTTTCTTATTACACAAGGAACCCAATAATGATTAAATAGTTGTCAGCCATGTCGTTCAACATAATATCCTGATGAACAAGATAACCAATGGAAAAGGTGGGAATGTGTTTCTTCATGGTGAGAGAGGTAGCAGACTAATTATTGAGATTAAGTGAGCCACGAATGACCGGTGAAAGGGTCCACATAGAGAAAAAAACTTCTATTCTTGCAATTTGTTAACTTGACCAAATGTAGGTAACAAAGGTGTGTTAATCTAGTTTGATGAAGATAGACCCACGAGCAGTGCTTGGAGGCCTATGACGATAACAGAGATTGAAGAAGAGTCACAATGGTTATTGTACCCATGGCAGTTTTTGGAGACCCATGAACTTCTGTGGTTGAGACCCACTAAACTTAAAGTTAGATGGTGACTGAGACCCACTAAACTTAAAGTTAGATGGTGACTGAGACCCACTAAAGTTAAAGTTAGATGGTGACTGAGACCCACTGAGGTTAAAGACAGATGGTTACTAAAACCCAAAAACCCATGGTTGTTTTTAGATTATAATGTAATGGAGAGCAGACTACGAGGTAAGGTGATCTGTATAAACTGAAGAGTTCCAAGGTAAAAGAACAAACCAGTCGAGAGACATAAGATGTAAGTTCCCCTTCCTTCTGACGAAGGGCAGCCTCAAAAGAACTAGGATTCATGCTCTTCATATAGTATGGACCCATGGCTATGTCCCCAGTGATTTTTCTATCAGACGAGCCTAAAGATGCTTGAAGAAAATAGCTTTCCTCCATGTTTCCGAGGCTACTAGAACTTGAGAGCTTCCGGGCCAAGTCACCTGCACAACAGAGTAAGACAATGCAACCTAACAAATAATGTCATCATGCTAAAGATCCATACCATGCTCAAACATCGAATTCTGCCTTTTTATGGAACTATTATCAGACGCAGCAGTAGAATGGAGATGAGCTTTCCTCTCCAAATCCATTCTGGCAGTTTTCTCCTTTTCAATCTCCTGTTAAAGAGTAATAAAAGCATAATCTCCAAAGCCTTGAATAAATGATTTATATGACACAATTTATATAGAAACTGAACGACAAATTGAACTCCCACAACAGCTGCCCCCCCAGCATTGGCAAAGACATGGAACATACACAAAAAATAAAAAACATTAACTAAAATATAATTTTGGGAAAAATTGTCACGCAAGCACATTTCAACAATTAACGAATGTGAAAGAAGTAAAAAGATGCAACTGAAATATCTTGCCAGATATTTTAAACTAGTGAAAGTTTGTTGTTTTGGTTTGGGGGCCTATGTCAAATAAACAGATTATTTCCAAGGATTGTCCAAGAAGTTTCCAAGAGGGTCAAGTTATTTTGTTGAGTCCACAGATACGGCGTGACATACAAGTCAGGTAAATCTATGTTCAACTATGTTGCATGTTGGACTTATGTCCAAGGTGTGTTCATATCCCAGATGTGCACCCAACATGGAAACTTTCACTTATAGATAAGTCCATACTTCCTAGGTTAAAGCGGTTATGAGCTCATATAAGAACCAAGACCTGCTGCAGCAGCTTCCTATGCCTCAGATACTCTTGCAACTCTTCCTTGTGTTTCCTTCTAAGATCCTGGATTTCTTCTTCAAGTTGATTGGCACGACCCTCTTGAGTGTCAGCTTCCTCTTTTGCTGCAAGACACTCCTGTCTGATTTCAGCTGCTCGCTGTCTCTCCTTTTCAAGTGTTTTGCTTAACTGGGTCTGTTCTGCTCTGAGACATGAAACCTGCAATACAGTTCTGATGTAAGGTAATATTCAAAAGGCCAGGTGGAAAAGGAAAATTATTAGCAATAAGAACCTGCGCCTCAAGAACATTAATTCTAGATAAGGTTTGGGACAAGCGTTCATTTATAGATCGCTCTCTTCCTTCGGCAGCAGCAGATTTGGCTTCTGCTTCCTGTGCATTCATTAAAAATTCAGTAAAGACATGTCTATATACTGTGCAAATGGTATATAGCCCAGAATAAACTCCAAAGCAACCTGAAGCCTAGAGTTAAGAGATCTTTCAACAGAAGCCCACACTTCTGCCCTTCTAGCAGTTGTTTCCTGTTATCGTGACGAGGGGTTGAGACATAAGTCTACTGAATTTGATGTTATAAAGATCATCATAAGATCTCCAAATTCTTCGTAACATGTACTGACCTGTATTGCTTCAATCTGCCTTAGTAGAGGCCTTGTAGACTCTGGGACTTGAGTGATCAACTCCTCACAACGTCGCTCACTTGCCTGTAAAACAATGACCACCACGATATAAATCTAGGAAGCTCACAAGATTATTTCTAGAGTTCTATTTTATCTTTTGCGGCTGCCAGGTCAGGGGATTCAGAAGAACTAAACGATGCACTGAAATAAGAAGTGCCACATACTTGGTAACGCTTTTGAAGGTCTTCAATGTCCCCGCGAAGCATATCTTCTCTAAAGACAGCCTGCAAAGCAAAATCAATAACATAGTCCTCTGACTCCTCAAAGCAGCAAAGTGAACTTAATTAAGACAGTGCAAACTTCTAGAGGAACAAAAAAATACCTGCTGTTCCTTTCTACTTAAAGTTTGTCTTAATTCTTCAAGTGTCTGAACTAGCATTGTTTCACGATCCTCAGCCTCCCTAAGACGACTTTCTAGCTCAGATCTGGCTTCACTGTTTGCACGTGCCTCTGCTAAATTTTCAGCCTCCTTGGCAGCAGTTAAGGCAGATGTATAGTACTCTTTCTGTGCTGCTAGTTCTGTTTGGTGCTTTTCTATTGTTTCTTGCAGCAACATCTCGGTAGCAGTTTTGTCCCTCTTGATGCTATCTACTATATTTTCTTCCACCTAGAATTGAGGAGAAAATGCATCAAAATGACCGCTCCTTACAAATAATAGTTTCAACAGACCATAAATTCTGCAAACATAAAATTCTAAATGGAACCTTTTTTGTCTCCACCATAACACAACGAAAATATCCTAAAAACATACTACAGAAATCTGATAATACAGGACCAAAGACATTTGTAACATAATTAGTCATCCAAGGAAATCTAGTCCAAAGTCTATCATACATTTCAATTCAGTTACCTGAAGTTTGGTCATTAGTCCCTTCTTCTCTTCTTCAAGCTCTCTGATCTAGCTCAAGAAACCAATTAAATTATTATTCATCTAAGTAATATAAATTGATTCTAAAAAATCATAGTGAAAGTGAACCTGAGCACACCTGGGCCCTTAATTTCCTAATATGAGATTCTTGAGTAGCCTGCTTCTTTGAGAGCTCCTCACCTGGTTGGTAGACATATCTTTTATGTCAGATAGGAAGACGAACTTTCTAATAAGACACTTTCACATGCAGTATCCTATTAGGCGCAAATATTTTAAACCAAAAGGACTGTGACCGAGAGAATACAAGATTCAGACAGCAAACATTTTATCCCCCTCCTCCCATACCATCCAACTATACAGATCTCATTTCAGTAGACATTAGAAGAAATAAAATGCCATTAGATACACATAGAACAAGGCTAAGAAGCTTCTCACCTTCTGCCATAACTTGATTAATTATTTCATCTTTTTCCTTCAAAAGAGAAGCCGCATCACTTTTTTTATTTTGCTCCCTCCTAAGTGTGTCCCTCTCCTTAGTAAGAGCATAAACCTGTAACGTTATGATCCAAAAGCATCTAGAAATCACTGAGGTGATGAATAAAATGTGACCAATTGACCAACCAACAAAACTACTTGTTACAAATATAATCTTGTTGTTGCATCGGAACATAGAAATGTTGACTAATCTGACTAACATTGAACTTGGTAAAATGAAATGGTTAAATAATTGAAAAATGAGATTATTCAGGAATACACATTGAATGCTAAGATTACGCATTGAGTTTATGGTAGTAGATCCATAATCAAAAAAGTGTTTGTGATTGTTACAGAAGAAATGAAGCAAAAGATACGGTAGAGCTAGGACATAAAATGAATTTGTAGCTGATTATTATACAATTAGAACAATATTGAATTCGCCTCAAATTTAAGTCTAAAATAAGTAAATCCAATTACTAAGGCTCCGTTTTGATCTAAAGATATGAGGCTTTTTTTCTTTTGTTTGTTTGGTCACTACCTACAAATCCAAACTATTAGATTCATGAGAATTGCAACTTTGCAATTCTTTCCGTTGCTTTTACAGAATTTCCCTCCAGGATCAGCAAACCATCACCCATTAATGCAACACCAACATTGTTTGATTCTATATTTAGAGCTATGTTTATAGTACCCTCTTCAAGTTCTACTAACGCATCTGTCATTACTTCATCAAGGCCATAAATACGAGCAATGTTGACTTCCACTTGAAGTACAGTACCGGTATTTACAATTTTTACTTTATTATATTTCTCAATACGTTCATGGATAATATTACTAATTTCATTTGCGGTTACCTGAGTATTTCGTAATTCTTTTTTTCTTTTTAAAAAAAAAAAAAAAACCCTCCTGTAGAAGGACTAATCATTTAGTTATTCGCTTCATCATAAAAAATTAATTCACCCATACCCTTCATTTTCTGAAACAGTTGGAAACTATCCATTAGAAAGCAATTTCAGTAGAACATGTAACATCTACCAAAACTCCATTGATGCTTGGTAGAACCCTAAACTTAATTGAGTTGAAACTTCATAAATCAGGCCCATTGGACTTGTGTATGGATAACACAAACAAAAGGCCATTACATTGTCAACCTGATTTAACTACTTTGGGAAAAATGAAGAGTAAACTTCAGAAAGAAGATGTAGAAAGTTGGAAAAACAAAATAAAAAAGAAATGACAAACCTTCCTTTCAAGAGTTGAGACTCTCTGATGGTATTCCTCTCGCAATGACTCAATTTCCGCATCACTGGACTTTTTCTGTTCCATTAATGACGAACGTGAGTAATTAAACATATATTTCATCTTCTCTCTACAGCAGGGGTGGGGGGGGGAGGGAAGACTAGTTTTCTTTGTGTAAAACACGTTTAACTTTTGTTTTGTACAGTATACAGTGGCTAATTAAATGATGAGATGCCAACAAGTTAACAAAAAGAATATTCTCAAATGAGGACAAAAATGTCAGATAAATAAGCCCAACCAACGTTTTATAATGGAATTCAAATGACTTTGTTTAAGTGTGCAACTTGAAATGGTAGACCCAACATAATTAGATAATCAAAAAAACAAAAAAACAAAAAAAAAACAAAAAAAAAAAAAAAAAAAAAAAAAAAAAAAAAAAAAAAAAAAAAAAAAAAAAAAAAAAAAA